GTTTTAAGAGGGGAGGGCTTCCACTCCCAGAATGCCCCAGCCAGCCAACCATCTTAAAACATGCAGGCTGGGGAATTCTGGCAGTGGAAGTCCACAAGTCCTAAAGTTGTCGAGTTTGGAGACCCCTGCTCTAATGTTTGGAAATAGAAAGTTGAAAAATTTGATGTTCCCTAGCCATTCTAGCTGATGGTGTCAACCTGTCTTGATTTAGGTCTCTTTCGTGGACACTTTTGAACCAGTGGGATCCATTCTACAACTCTTCTATCCAGTGCACAGAATGGATTCTGAATTTATTGGGGAGCAAAGGAAGTCTTTTCGCCAAATGCTTCGCTTAGGTACCCTGCAGATTTCTGGGCCGCTGTCCTTACCATTGGCCAGGCTGCTCCCAAGGGGAATGGTCTTAATACAACCAACTTACAACCATTCGTTTAAGTGACCGTTTGAAATTAGAATAGCACTTTTTAAAAAATGGACTTATGAGCGGTTTTCTTCCCCACGCTTACGACCGTTGCATAATCAAATTTCAGACGCTTGGCAACTGGCTTGTATTTATTATGGCTGCAGTCTCCTGGGGTCACGCGATCCCCTTTTGCGACCTTTGGACGGGCCAAGTCAATGGGGGAGGAAGCCAGATTCGCTTAACAACCACAGTGATTCACTTAACAAACGTGGCAAGAAAGGCCGTAAAATGGGGGTGAAAACTTATCTAACAGTGCTCTCGCTTAGCAACAGACATTTGGAGCTAATTGTGGTCGTAAGTCGAGGACAAACCTGTAGCCCAAAGCATTTAGAGCAGGGGTCGCCGACCTTCTGTACCCCAGGGACCACCAAACTCATCATTTTAAATCCCGAGGACCAGAGACCCTGAGAAAATCCCCCCCAAAAGTCTGCAGGAAAATTCCACGCCCCGTTTTCCTACCGATTGGTCGTTCTTTATTTGGGATCGCAGGATACCATCTCCAGCCCCGTTCTCAGAGAGAAAGAGAGAGACACTTTTGACTTCATGCAAGGAAAACAGCAGAAGCAGCAGAAGTCTTTCTTTCTCTCCCCCAAACTCTGCCAGAAATGAGTCTTTGTGAGACTCGTTGCACCAGTGGAGCCTCTTGGGGCAGGAGGCCTTGCAGGGTCCCAAAGACTCATTTCTGGTGGAGTTTGGGGGAGAGAAAGAAAGACTTTGGCTGCTTTCCTTGCATGCAGCCAGAAGCAGAAGAAGAAAGAAGCAGAAAAAAGCAGTCCAGTGGCCAGGCCAGGCGCATGGGGCCCGTGGGGCAAGTTCCCCCCCTCCGCCCTTTCCCTCCTCCCCTCACTACCTCGTGTTGTTCGCAATGCAAGCGACACAAGCCTTGTGTTCCCACGGGCCTTGTGGGCGGCGCAACCTTGTGTTCCCGCGCAGCCTGGATTAATTGCTTGGGGGCTGACATTTCATTGCGGACCACCAAAATTTTCTCGCAGACCACCAGTGGCGCCCGACCGCTGATTTAGAGGACACCTACGACCTATGCTTCTGGTTAAATGTAAATACGCGGGTACATTATATATAAAACCTATCTGGAGCTGCACCACAGATTTCTCTAAAAATCAAACCATTCTGGCCCCAAAGAGAAGCAGAAACAAAGGGCCCAACAAACCAGGCACCATCCGAATTACAAGGTCTAAAAGAAGAGAAACAGCTTACGTAAGCGTTCTGAATAATATCGGCCACTGCAGAGCCCGTGAGAGAATACAAGCCCCGTTTTATTTTTATTTCTAAATGAGGCCTCTGGCTTTAGTCCCCTTTATTTAAAGAAAAAAAAAACCCAACAACAGACAAGACTCAGCAGAGAAAAAAAAGGGCAGCTGAGGCCAGCAAAATGCATCTATGGGCAGCTGACAAGAGAACAATACAACCGATGCACGGAGAGGGGGTGAGGGACTG